GGTGGGCTGAGCTGGCCACACACACACACACACACACACACACACACACACACACACAAATAAAAAATAAATGTTAAAATTAAATACATTAAAAAAAAAAAAAAGCTGTAGTCCACACAGGCCCCACAGTAACAGGGCATTTCACAGCCCACCCATCTGTCCACTAGATGGCAGCAGCAACTGCCACACATGACCCGCAGTGCCACATAATGTGAACGTTGCCAGGGTCCCCACGGGGCAGAATCGGTCCCTCTGAACGGTGGCTCTGCAAAACAGTCCATGGTGTGACTACCATCAAATGTGGATGGGACCTGGTTTGGGAAAAGGGGTCTTTTAAAGATCTTCAGATCAGCCTCCTCCTCCTATTATTGGCATGCATCATAAACCCAGTGACAAGTGTCCTTAGAGAAAGAGAAGCCGGTGGTGGTGGCACACACCCATACTCCCAGCACCCCAGAGGCTGGGGCAAGATTGCAAATTCAGGTGCAGCTAGAGGAAAGTTAGCTAGACCCTGTCTCAAAATAAAGTAATGAACGAATAAAGGTTTGGAGATGAAACTCACGGCAAAGTCCCTGGTTCAGCCGCAAGGACAAAGACAGAGACAGGGAGAGGACAGGGGAGGAGCCGAGAAGGAGATGGAGCTAGGAGATGGAAGAGGAAGTGGCCTCGTGAGCATCAGAGACAGGGAGGGCGTGACAGCCGGAGTCACCTGATCTGGCAGGGCACGAGGGACCTGGCCACGGCCTCCTAGGGGGCCTTGTGGGTGCACACTGATGTCAGTGTGCAGAGAAGCTGTCCCTGCTATCTCAGTGCCTGGGCTGTGGCACTTTGTCATAGTGACCTGGGACACCCATGTCCCAACTGCTCCCATCACGGGACAGGATGTACCCTTTCCCCAAAATACTCAGGTCCACAAGCTCAAAATCCCTGCGTGGCCTTGGAATTCATTCCAGCTCTGCCTGCTCGGGACCCCTCTGCTGTGGCCAGCAGTACACCTGAAGTCTGGTGCACAATGCACAGGCAACCCTGGAGCTTGAGATGGTCTCTCCTGTCAAGGAGCAGGGTTTCAGTACCTTGTCTGAGGTTCGTGGGGATGCCTATGTGGGGAAATCTGTTTTAAATTTTGAGACAGGATCTCACTGTGTTGCCCAGGCTGGTCTGTCACTGGTGCTCCTCCTGCCTCGGCCTTCAAAGTCACTGGGACTGTGGGTGTGCATTGTGTGCTTGTGTGTGCACCGCTGAGCACATGCCTACATGGCACACAGCCTGGGGTACATCCCGGCCCCAGAACTGGGAATTTTGTATCCTTCTTAAAATACACACGTGTCCAGGATCCCAGCACTGGGGAGGCTGAGGCTGGAGGATCACCATAGGTACAAGGTCCACCTGGGCTATGTAGTGAAATCCTGTCTCAAGAAACAACACCCCCGCCCCAATAAAAGAGGAAGAAAAAGCTTTTTTATTATGGGTGGAGGACGAGGAGGTAGGAGAAAAACAGAGTCGGCAGGCCGGCTATGTCTTAGTACATGGGGTAGGAGGTGTAGCAGGGTCAAAGAGGGAAGAGGGCAAAGGGAAGGAGGAGGAGCAGTTCCCAGAAGAAGAAGGGAAGGGGTAGGAGAGGAGAGGGAGGCAGGGACACAGAGCCTACGTTTGTAAATGAATGGGTCTCACTGATGGGGGCCTGTGTCTGCTCAGCCTCTCTTACTTTTTCTGTACCAGGGATTGAACCCTGGCCCTTCACCCATTCCCTTTTAGTTTCTATTTGTTGTATTAAGAAAGGATCTTAGGGCAGGCACGGTGGTGCACACCTGTCATCCTAGCACTCAGGAGGCTGAGAAAGGACTATCGTTGCAAGTTCAAGACCAGCCTGGGGCCAAAGAGTGAGCTCAAGGCCAGCCTGAGCCACGTGGCAAGACCCTGTATCAAAGGAGAAAATAAAGAGAGAGACTGAGCGTGGTGGCACGCATCTGTAATCCCAGCGCTTGGGAGGCTGAAAATAGGAGGATCACCACAAGAGTCTGATCTGTGTAGTGAGACCCTGTACTGAATACATTAAGAAAAAGAAAGAATCTTGCTAAATCACCAGCTCGCCATTCTCCTGCCTCAGCCTCCTGGAGCGCAGGCTTCACAGGCCTGGCTGGCACTACAGTGGTCTCTGCCCTCGGTTTCTGTACTGAAAAGTGGGCTGACCCTAACCGCTCCAGGGCAGGGAAGCAGCTGTCCTGTCCTGGCTGCTCCCAGCCGAGAAGGAGAAGGCGGTGCGGGTCAGCCTGGCTCTGGGCCTGTCCCCACGTACGTCCCCTCCGGCCCCCCTGCACCGGGCCGTGGTGGGGACCAATGGCAGCGGGGGGTGGGAAAGCCGCCCGGCCCTATCCTCCGTCCCGCGGCCCTGGAAGCTGGCCCTGGCCCCTTCCCAAGGAGGGTACAGGGAAGGTCGGCCAAGCAAGCGGGCAGAGCCGGCCGAGTGGGCAGGGCGGAGGGACGGGGAGGGCCCGAGGCAGCCGGGGTCCCACTGGGACAGAGCCGCAAGCGGACCCGCAGCTCGGCGGGGTGTGCGGTCCCTGCCCGCCCCCGCATCCCGCTCGGCTTCCCGCCCGCGCCCAGCCCAGGGCCTGCGAGCGCTCAGGTCAGTCCCGAGGCCTAGGCCCGGAGCGCTCTGGGGCCCTGGCGGGACCGCAGTCGCGCACAGGTCCGGTGGGCGCTGGCGGGGCAAGGCCCTGCTCCGGGGCGGCCAGCCTGGCTCTGGGCCTGTCCCTGCGAACGTCCTCCGACCGACGACCGCTGGGGCTGGCTACGCAGCCGGTTGGGGCTGGGATCCAGCAGCCGCAGGGGCCTCCGGGTGTGCGATTAGGCCCCCAGCGGGTGTTGAGGACCCGGAAGCTTGGGGCTTGGCTTCTGCACAGGAGGGGAAGGAATCCGATCCCGGAGCGCGCGGTCCAGAGCCAGCGCCCCAGGACCACGCCCCCGGGGACCTGGTGAGCTCGCTGCGCACGCGCCCCGGCAGCGGCGGAGGCCCGGTTGCCCCGGAGACGGCGGCCATCCTCGGCGGCCGTTCTAGCACCGGCACTCGTTGGTCGCGGGCTCTCTTGCCCGGAACGGGAGCTCTTTGTGGTCGCAGCCTCCGGAAGGGGGCCGGCTTTGCTCTGCGGGAAGAGGTGCAAGAGCTGGACAGGTAGGAGGCGCAGTCCCAGTGGGGCCGAGGCTGCGAAGTTAGAGTGCCACGCTCCTCCTAGTGTGACGCCTGCGCCCCGGACTGAACGCTAGCCCCTAGGTCTGGCGCAGACTCGCGACCTTCCAGCGTTTGGGGGCGGGGCTCGAACGGGTGTGGGCGGGATCAGCTTCCGACGGGAGGGTCTCGCTCAGGGGCGGGGCTTCGTGGGCGGAGCTGAGGGGGCGGGGCGGGGAGCTGCGAGAGTGTGGGGCCGACCCGGGGCAGTGTGGGAGTGGAGGCGGAGTCGGGACAGGGGCGGCAGGGCACGGCCTGGACAGGTAACTGAGTAGAGCCCGGTTCTGTGGCTGCGAACCAAGTAGAACCCAGGCTTTCGCGCTAAACTGTGTGATGGGGCTCTGAGCCCAAGGTCAAAGCTTGGAAGTGGGTCTAGCAGTGACTGACATATGCAAATAGGCCTGGGGGAGGTTCCTGTTAGAATGGTTAGCATGAAGGCGGGGCTCGGCGTTGGGGGCGGAAGCTTCCAGGATAAAGCCAATCCCAGGCTTGGGGCGGGCCTTGTTGCTAGTAAACTAGTTTAGGATAAGCAGGGGGCGGAGCGTTGCCGAGTGGAGGGTGTGGCCAGGTGGGGCTAGCCCGGAGCTGGGCGTGCCGCGGCGAGCCGGGCGGAATCGGCGGGGTTGGCGGCAGCCGGCGGGTCCTAACGTTTGTGTCTCTTCAGGATGCGGTACCCGGGCGCGGGTCCGGCCTCGCTGGCCTCGCTGGCGCTGCTGTGGTTGCTGGGCCTGCCGTGGACCTGGAGCGCGGCGGCGGCGTTCGGCGTCTACGTGGGCGGCGGCGGCTGGCGCTTCCTGCGCATAGTCTGCCTGACTGCGAGACGCGACCTCTTGTGAGTGTCTTGCGGGCTGACACGGGGTGGTGGTGGTGGGGCACCCTGGGCCTTCCGAGTGTCCCGGATCAGGGGCTGGGGCCGGGGCAAGGCGGGGCAGAAGGGGAAACAGGGTGGGCTCTGGGGTTGTAGGTGAAAGATTGGGAGTCCTTGTAAGCTGCAAGTGATCCAGGCCTTGGGGGCTGCTCTGGAGCCTTCGGGGTAGAAACCTCGAGGTCTCCGGTAGCTGGTGACGTCCTAAGAAGCTCCCTGGGCGCTCGCAGTGTGGCACAGGTCGCTGGGGAGGGAGTACCAGTGTCTTGGGGTCACTTTAGGGTTGGAGTGTCACACCCATTTTAAAGATGAAGAAACTGAGATTCACAAACTGCACCTGGGCTTTGTGAAACTTCCAGATGGCATGCTTCCTTACACACACACACACACACACACACACACACACGCATCTTTCTGATGTTAGAGTTTTATGCCTACTCCAGGTCTCTGACCTTCGTCCTGATGGGTCAGCCTCTCTGGATTCAGGAATGCCAGGCGGAGGAGTGCAGCTGGCTGCGGGGTGTGTTTGGTTGTCCAGGCACAGCCTCAGGGAAGGTGCTGCTTCTGCCTGTGCTCCCTCCCTGCCCTTCCCAGGGAGGCCCCTGTCTTGGAGCCAGGGGACTACAGAATTCTCTTAAGCTGCCCTGGGGGGCTCTGTGTGCTGCTTCTCTACAGGAAATTTGGTTTCAGCTGATGCCCAAGGCCCTACCAGCCCACTGTGTCTCCTGCCACTCCTGTGCCATAGGGCATCGGTCTCCAGGTTGCCTCTGTGCCAGCTCCCTTTGTCAGGAGCATTCAGTGCCTCTGTTGGTGGTGATGATGCGACACCTTTTGGGGAATCTCTGCTGCATTTTCCACCTCAGCACACTCGGGGGCTCCTTGGCACCTTAGCAGCTAACCCGCACTCTCACACATGTCCTGCAGCGTCCTGCCCATGTCCCCAGGCTCTCCCTCCTTTCTCTCTTCCTGCTGACTGTGCACAGCCCCATTCCAGCCCCAGGACCCTTGCACCTTCAGTCCCTCTGCTCTTCACTTCCTGTTTTGGTATCGCCTCCTCTGAGAGCCCTCCTAGGACTTTTTCTGCTGTCCCCTTCACGCCTGTGACAAAACGGGCACTCCATGTGAGTAGCTGCATGTCTTCCTGCTGTGCTGAGCTTTTGCAGGTGTCACCTCAAGGAGCAATCCCAACAGTCCCCGGTGTGCAGCACCTCTTTTCTTGCCCCCAAACAGCAAGCTGTGGCACAAAGTCATGCTATTGTAATTTGTCTGGGTCACAGCTCACAGGGCAGGGCAGGCAGCACGGCCCAGCACATGTCTTGTAGCTCCTGAAGGCATTGGCCACCTGTGTTGTTGGTGGGTCTGCTCTATCCCTTTTCATTTTTTGTGTTTTTCTTTCTCTGGCACAGGACAGGGTCTCACTGTGCAGTTTAGGCTGATCCTGAACTCACTGTGTAGTCCAGGCTGGCCTCAAACTCATGGCCATCCTCGTGTTTCAGCCTCATGAGTGCTGGGATTACAGGTGTGTGCCACCTCACCTGGCTTTTTAACTCCTCCAACACTGTGCCCCGGGCACAGCTAGCAGTCATGTCCTCCTTGGTGCCACTGTGGGTTGGCAGATTTGGACTTTGTCTACTGCAGGACCCACCCTGACTCCTCTCTGCACCCCAACTCTGGCCCATGGCCGCCGAGGACATACCTGCCCCTGGGTCCCCAGTGAATCAGGTCCCCTCTATATCCCTGATGTAATTCTGTGCACTCATCCATGGGACAGCCTGGATAGTGGCCCAGGGTCCCTGTCCCCTGTGCTTGGTGTCCTGGATGATCCCCACCCATAGTGCCAGGGAACAGAAGAAAAGAAAGAGATGGACCGGCTGGGCCCTGTGGTGCAGTCTGGCCTCCCAGCTACACAGGAGCCTGAAGCAGGAAGATTGCAAGTTTGAGTGCAGCCTGAGCACCGTGGAGAGAATGGATCTCAGAATTTAAAAAAATAAAAGGGCTGGGGTGCAGCTCAGTGAGAGTGCTTGCCTACCATGCACAAGGTTGTGGATTTAATCCCCACAGTGGGGAGAGGAGACACCGAGAGAGCGACAGAGAGAAAGAGATGGACTGACAGACAGACAGACAGAGACAGCAGAAAGAAACGGGAAAAAAGAAGCAAGCTATGGGTGGTCCTTCTGAGCTTAGGTAATAAAGAGACTGTGGCTCCCAGCGTGGCTACAGTTGCTCTGGTCACTAAAGTGGCTTGCACAGGCTTCCCAGTACCAGGCGTTGCTCACAGCCCTGTAAAGAGAACTGTTGGCTGGGCGTGATGTCACACGCCTCTCATCCCAGTTACTGGACAGGCTCAGGCAGGAGGGTGGCAAGTGTGAAGTCAGTCTGAGCAATGAGAGCTTGTCTCAAAAAGAAAAAAAAAAACACCAAAACCAGGGCTGGTGAGATGGCTCAGTGGTCTAAAGCACCTACTTAGAACAAGCTTAGCAAAGCACAGGGACCGGGGTTCAATCCCCCAGCACCACATGCCAACCAGCCCCGCCCCCTGGTGGGCTGAGCTGGCCACACACACATAAATAAATATTAAAAAAAAAACAAACCCAAAACCAACAGAGAAAACACAGCTGTGGATACAGCCCAGGGGTGAGCTCTCACTCAGCATGTCTGAGGCCCTGGGCTCCCTCCCCAGCGCTGCAAACAGAAAAACAGAAGAGATGCTTGCTAATCCCATTTTGCAGATGGTAAACTGAGGTACAGAGTGAGGTCATTTGCCTGGGAGCACATTCCCAAGGAGGTGTTGGCCTCCTGAGTCTGTGCTCTTAGCCACTGTGGAGTGTTGAATTTTCTTGGTGTGTGTGTGTGTGTGTGTGTGTGTGTGTACGTGTGTACACGTGTGCACGTGCCCAAATTGCTGGGGATGGAACACACGCTCAGGCTGGACTTGAGTTCACTTTGTAGCCCAGGCTGGTGTCAAACTCACAACCATCCTCCTGCCTCAGCCTCTTAAGACCTGGAATTACAGGTGTGCACTATCACAACTGGCTCAGACTCTAGTGTGAGACAGGGTCCTGTTAAGTCATTAGTACTTGCAGTCCTCCTGCCTCAGCCTCTCAGTGTCCTGGGATTCTGGCCAGCCGGCCTGCACCACCACACCAGTCCAGCAACTCTGGGCTCCCTCTTCTGCTGCATGAAACACAATCCCATCTGCCCTTGTTGACTTCCTCCTGCTGGAGTCCTGGGACACAGGATAAAAGGAGTGGGCCGAGAGGAGGCCGGGAAGGGCCGCAGACAGTGGGCTCTTTGTGCACTGGGAAGGGGCAGCTGGGTTGCTGCCCAGGGTGGTGCTCGGGCCCATGGCTGGAACCCAGCTCTGGAATCCACTGCCTATGGGTGGCTGGCAGGGGATGGGGCAGGAGGGGCTGGTCCTGGCTCTCCAGTTCAGTGGGATGTGCTTCCTTTTCCTGGCTGTGGTCCTGGTGAAAGAGCCTTGCAGTAGAGGCTGCTTCCTGTGGCCACCAGCTGTCACTTTGTACCCTGTGGAGTCCTCGGCCACTAACCCATTTATGCACAGGGCGCCCTGGGAGCAGGAACGGGCATGCAGTGGGGCTTGGATGTGCTGGAAGTGCAGGCTTGCTGGCTGGAGCCCCTGGCTGGCCCAGAGCACGGCTCTGCCTCCTCCCCCTCCTCCCCTTTGCCCCCTCCTTTTCCTCCCCCTCCCCCCATCCCCCTCCTCCTAGCTGGGCCCTATGCCTCTCCTAGGAGGCCAGCACAGAGTGTTTTACACTGTTACTTACTACTTTTAAATTTTTAAATTTGCCGTATCCTCAATGGAACCCAAGACCTTTTCACTGAGCTATGTCACCAGCCTTTTTTATTTTAAATTTTGAGGCAGGGTCTCACTAAGCACTATGTTAGCCAGACTTGACTCAGCTTTGGGACCCTCCTGCCTCAGCCTCCTTGAGTGCTGCCATGCCCAGCGTACTTATTTTTATAATACAGGTAATAGTATCCCTTGTGTGGTTTCGCTTTCTGTGGCTTGGTTACCTATGGTCAAATCCATTCGGAATGGGTATTAAAATCTTAAAAATTCTCTTGACTCTCAAGAGGGGCCACCTTCAGGTTTCAGGGTGGCCCCGTGGTGAGCGTTCACCCAATCTTCATAGTTCTAGGTTCCACCTCCAGCACCTTGAGAGTAAGAAACACAATACTGCAGAAAAGAAAAAGCAGGGGCTGGTGAGATGGCTCAGTGGTCTAAAGCACCTAATTAGAACAAGCACAGGGACCACGGTTCAATCCCCCAGCACCACATGCCAGCCATCCCTGCCCCCTGGTGGGCTGAGCTGACCACACACACAACACACACACACACACACACACACACACACACACACACACACA